ATGTTTTCCTTTAGTCTTTATTCATATAGTTATTTTAGAGATATATTTTTAGTTCTATCTGAATTTTTACACTTTCTCACACACACACACACATCACATATATATATATATATATATATATATATGGTGGCTTCCCACTTACTGTATGAGAACAGCTGTCAAGTGGACTGTAGCATTGTATATAATTTTTGTATCACTGTCACAGATTTTGATCAAGAGCTGCTGAAAATATTTATTAAACTTTATCACATGGTCACAAACGCTGGACAATTAGTGAAGATCGAACAAAAACTATGACAATTATTTCATGTCATTCATCTGTCTTATGTGTAGTAGTAATAGGAATTATGTTTGATCTCATGATTAATATTTACTCAGTTCAGCTGGCACAAGACCATGTGGCCTTCAGTTAGGACTGAACTACTATGAGTATGGTAATAATCTATGAGATTCAGGGCCAGTGTATTCTACCCCAAAAGCCCCAATCTGGGGCTGTGTCCGATTGGAGGTCCCAGGCAGTTCTTTGTGACCCTCACTATCTTATCAACATTTGCTTTTTTCTATTTACATTTGAACCTTCCTAGCAAACACTTTAGCAATATGTAATGTTGAAGTAGTTATTATAATTATTTTTTCCATGCTACCTTAACATTCACATATATAAATAACAATGTGTATTCACATAAAAGCACACAACACAACACACACACACACACACATATATATATATATAATATATATATATTTAAAATATATATATATATATATATATATATGAAGAAATATAGTCTTAAGGTGTGCTATATTTATGGGATAAAGTGCTCAATATCAGAGATAGAGCGTGTGTAAATATAAAAGTGAACATAAAAGCCAACACTTAGGCGACATTCTGTTTCATGCTTTATGCAAACGTCAGGCCACGTGTCGCCTCTAAGTGTTGACAGTTAACTTTTATATATATATATATATGTGTGTGGCCTGACGATTGCATATAGCATGAAACAGACTGTCACCTCTAAGTGTTGACTTCTATGTTCACTTTTTATATTTATATATATATATATATATATATATATATATATATATATATATATATAAATTTATTACAAAAAATTTAAAACCTAATTTTATAGTTAAAAATAATAATTCACCTCTTAGAATAAAATTAAATAGGACAAATATTATTTACAAATTTAAATGTCCATTAAGGAATTGTATTCCTGATCAATCAAAATTGTAAATAATTATATAGGCCATACAACTATATATATATATATATATATATATATATATATATATATATATATATATATATATATATATATATATTATGTAAAAAATTTTAATACTAAAATTTACCCACTACAAGCCTCGAGAGCCACTCAAAGTTTGAGGGTTTTGTTAAAATAATAATGAAGTGGCGTACTGAGTCTGTACTACCTGACTCAGAGATTGAACTCACAATTAAAATGCAACCAAATTCATGAAGCAGTGCTTTAGTACAGAGTCAGACTGTGGCAACAAAGCTAATAATAATTGATCAGTACTAAAAAAAGAACAAGATGACATATTCCTAGACATCATCTGTGGAATGAGAACAATCTACTCCTATAGATTAAATAAAGTGTTCAATTCAAAATTCACTGAGTTACCTAAAATGAGAGTCACTTGAAGAATGCCAGAGTGCACAGTGGCCAAAACATTGCAATAATAACAACAAAGATGAAGACACTAGTCCAACTGAAAATAATGTCAATATTGATAACCCTTCATTCTAGAAATTGGCAAAAATACTGATTAACTTTTCAATAAATTCAGTTGCATACAAAAAGGCATTTATCTCCTATTTAAAAATGTCAGCTTATTTTCCAAATTCTCTCTCTCTCTCTATATATATATATATAAATATATATATATATTAAAATTATATAGTTGTTTCACATTGATCAATGCTACACAAAGTTTACAAGCCTGATGATTGCCACATGCATGAAACTTTAAGTATCATCAAGTATTAAGGAACAACTATAACATTCTTTTTAATATATATCTTAACTCTGTTATTTTATATCAAGCACAGTTTTTTAACACCCAACACTGATTGTACACTATACATACATATATATATATATATATATATATATATATATATATAACGGCAAAATTGTTCAAATCATGTAACAACATGGGATAATTGTCCATCCCACAAAATGTTTAATATCTAAAAAATCACTAAACAAATTGAATTTCGTTTTCAGATAAGACATTTAGCCATCTTGACACCATTTGTCATAAGAATCACTGAAAAACTGTTTGAGTTATCAGCTAGAAAGAGAACACATTAAAATCATTTTGTGTCAGCCCCACTATGTCTTCCCAACTGAGCAATGGTGAGAGGAAAAAGATCATTCAGGCATTCAGTAATGGTACTAACATTCATACTTTGGTTTCCATTTTCAAAGTCCATTCAAGAACCATTAAGAGAATGGTGAATAAGCTTAAAAAGAGGGAACAGTAGAGAGGAAAGGTGAATCAGGAGGTTAAAACAGCAAGAGAGATCATCATTTCAACTTAGAGCTAAATACATTCTGATTGTTCAAAGTAGAGTCCAATAGTGTTATAAAAGAAGATATAAGTAAGATATCTTTAATCATTTCTATGATACAACAGTTCAAAACTTAATCTAACAATTGGACAATTTTGCTGTTACACCAGGTAAATATGATAAAAATATAGTTTTAAGGTATGATATATTTATGGGTTAAAGTGCTCAATATCAGAGATAGAGCATATGTAGATATAAAAGTGGACATTGAAGTCAATATCTAGTGGAAACAGTCTGTTTCAATCATCAGGCCATGTGCATTACTTGACTATTTATATATACTGGTGAGTGATGCATTATGGGTAGGCATATGGTATTTTTCTAACAGTTATTTGGGTGGTAACGATTATGTTTCAAATTATTTTAGGGGCTCTTGAGTGGAAATGATT